AATTTGAAAAACTGGTCACTAACGCCATCTATCGAAAAAATATTGAAGTACTACAACCACTTTCTACTTTCTTCGATATATTGCGCCAGTGGCGCCGCCACCTCGCTATTGTGTGATGGTGGCGGAAGCATGTACTAATGCGTAGCCGGTACAATTTGCTTGTTTTCTCGTGCTGATGTTGGATTTTTTTTTTGTTAGGTTGGTAATTTCTATACAACTGCAAAAGCACTGCTTCTTCGTTATCCGACTAATTTAAGAAGTCAACAAAACGTAGCGTTTGTTGATTGAAAATAGATATATTAATTTTGGTCAACTTATTGTTTACGTTTTTTTTGGCCATTTTGTTTTGGTTATGTTTTTATGTGCAAGTGAATAAATTGTAATGTAATGAATTATAATTTAAATGAACTGTTAATTTACCGAAAATTATGTAAAATTATAGCTGTGAGCTCTGTGCTGGTGATTTGTGTTGTTCAATAAATTAAATATGAGTGCGTTGTCCTTATTGTCGTTTGAAGAAGAAACGAAAATATTTCCAAAGGCGATTTTGCGTGTGTCGTATGTCCGGGCTAGGTGTAACTCAAAAAAGGTAATAATTTTATTATTTCTTTTAATAAACTACGATTTGCGATTATAGGTATAGTTTGTTTTGTTAGCACTGGTTGTGTACCAATTTCATTAAGGCATTGGCTGCCAATAAAAAACTATTGAAGGCAAATCCTCCGCTAACGTCGGTCACCAGTGACTGCCATGGCGTTTAACGTGTTAATGTTTTTAAAATCCAGTCATCTTGATCTCGCTTTGTACGATTTTTCTATGCATTTAACGGTCAGTTTATACTGGTGTCGCATAGCTTGATGTGTAACCATTTGTACTTCGCCGCTCCAAAGTAGGTACCTAGTTAATAGATTTGTAAAATAGATACCTAGGTATCTAGAGGTATGTTGATCAATTTTATACACGGATAGTTTGAAAATAATTATGTACCTAATTTGTTTACACAAATTAATAAAATACTTACTAAACCTAATTACCTACTCAAAATTATGATGTTTCGGGAGTTTTATTTTCCGAGATTAATGTAGACCAAATTTTTTTTAATCATGTGATACCTTCTGCCTACCCTACTTCAAATCTCTGTGCACGCCCCTGTATACTATGTACAACCCACATCGGTGCAAAGTTTTCACCAATAAATATTATTCAAGCTCAAACACCGTTAACTCAAAAACTCTACTGTTAACCGTTGAGGAGTTCCCTCGACTGCCTCTCGGCTCCACCATCAGATCAGCTTCAGACCTTTATCAAATTACTACAATTTGATAACAAATTGGTTTTACATACTTCTCGAAAAACTTAACAAATGCACTAGTTAAAGATTGATATGATGATTAAAAACTATGATTTTTAAAAAGTCCCCTCGGTTCCCCTGGGATTCCATCATCAGGTCCTGATTTCTGGACAATGGGACCGAATGACAAGCCTACCCTTACAAACAAAAAAATAATATTTGAAATCGGTCCAGGCGTCTTCGAATTGAGAACCTCCTCCTTTTTTTTTAAGTCGGTTGAAAAGCAAAAGCTATTAAACATAATTTACATAAAATATGAGGAATTTCAGTTTGACCTGATGATAATTTGACAGTCTCTTGTGGACCATGTTATTTTACCAAATTATTGGGAAGGTAATTTTCAATCACACTCGTTTGAGCTTCATAGAATAACATAGTGACACGTTTTCAAAGATGGTTCCAAAATGCACGTCCAGCAATTAGGACTCATTAGTGAAGTCAAGTCACAATGGTTGTTAGGAGGCAATTTTACTATAAAAGAAAGCATTGGATATTTCCTTCAGAAAATTGCGGAAATCTTACATATCAGGTTCTGTGAAAGGACAAACAGACGTGCATTGTAATAGTAACATGGTCTATTTTGCGTAGTGTTAATTTTACCACTGATACCTATTGTAGGCTCCGTCTTAAGAAAATGTATAGTAATAAATACAAAATTTTCGAAAATTTACTCATTCAATCATTGGCAATATTTTAGCCCGAATAAAGACGACCAAATTAACAGCGAGATCGCTAGCAAACTGCGAGGTATTTGACAATAAGCCTAATACCATGCAACACAAACAGATAAACTGGCTGTTAAAGTAGCTGCGCGATAGGTTTATATCTAAGTAGATAAAGTGACATTAGGTACTTACCTAATGTCACTTTCATTTTATAGTTAACAGTTATCACAACTTAGTAAATAGAAACTATCGGAAGTTTAGGCACCAAATAAAGCGAGGTTCTAACAATCCCTGAAAATGTTGTTAACAAGTTATAACTAACTAACTTGCTGCCTCTCCATTGAAAGACGCGGCAGACTGCAGAAACAAATGAATAGAAAATGTACATTAGACAATAAAAAAATGATCATTTCAATTATACAATTTCCACGATGGACATAAAACCGTCAGAATAACAAGATTTTTTTAAAATAAATTGTAAGTAACCAAACTAAAATTACACTTTTAATCGTGAATGTCCTTGTAATCAGGAGAAATAATCATACTAGCCCAAACTCGACATGATTACTAGTAGATGGCGCAATGTTTCATCAGCCAGCCATTGTACATTCATCGATCTATTCTACATATTAATGACAAAGTACCATGACGACAAAATAAAAGATGAAAAGCGTGTTAAAACTACTTTTAGATAGGTTATCATTCGAAATCGATAATACTAATTACTAAGAATGTGGGTAACATTCTTAGTTCATCGTTCATCGCTATTGCTACGACCAGTTCCTGTGCACTCATGTAATATATCAATATAAGAAGCATTGTCAACTACTAATATCCCTACCCTACAACTTTAGATTTAGTGAAGAGCGCAGTTTGCTTATTAGAACGGGCTTCGATCTAACTAACTGCATTTATGAACATCTTCGAGACCGAAAACAAATCACACATGTTAAGTTTTCGCTTTGAAACTAGGCTTAACGTTTAATGCTGCATTTAAGGACGTATCGATATAGAAATAAACACATCACAAATACAGTAGGTATAAGTTTCCTTATTAAGTGAACACAATAGCCGTACAATCAATTATTTCAAACTCGATTGAAATTAGTCGATTAACTGATATTATTTTTCGTTTAAAATATAAGAACCTTAGAAGTATCTGATTCTCGTTAAGGTCACCTGTTGGCGAATAAATAGAAGACAATCTTGAAGAATATTCTATTGCAAATATCCAACTATAAATTGCATCTCATTGAAAATAGCTATGGAAGAAGTACTTGTATTTTCTTACCTTTCGATGTCTTCATCTCGTTACTGCACGATTCCTCAGTTGTTTGATAAAGAGCCTTACCTTAGTAACAACTTTTTTAGATACCATTATCCACTATCCATTACCCATGTTTTGGCGGTTCTAGGCTAGGATTTTCTTCTGGTTATTTTGAAATCACATAATATACATCACCCAGGACCGGAACAACAATTTGTGGATCTAAAGTTATTCCGTCCGGGAATCGAACCCGAAACACGCACACAACAACAGCTAACCTTACCCAACTGCTGCCAATTGTGCAGTCATTTGTGTAGATGCAATAGCATTGAGAACTAGGATGCAAAGATAATAAATCATCTTAAATATTAGTCGTGTACATACTTACATTTTATTAATTATTTACGAGCTACAACTATTTGATAAACCACTGACATTCTCATAGCAAGAGCTAGGCTAAAACCACAACTTAATTAAGCTAAACGCAGACACAAACCTAGCTACAGTGCTGATGTTTAATTATAATATAATAAGTAGGAAAATACTGCACATTGCATTATGAAACGAGCTTTGGTTGTATGACAAACGACCTGCTATGCTTTACCAGTAGGTATGCTTCCTCAAGGTCATAACTTAGGTGTCTGCATGCGTCGCTTATTGGAATGGTCCATCATCGTATACCACTAGGCGAAATATTCGCTAAAACCGACGCATGAACAATAAAAAGACGAAAAGCCTTCCACATGGAAATTCACGTAGTACCTACCTAAAAGAATTAGTACCTGTTCTAATATGAATCGAATTATGTATATGGGATAGATACATAACTCTATCGCAAAAAAACTTACCTACACTTACACACGTAAGTCCTGTAAACTTCAAGCAGCTTCGTCAGTTTATATATAGAGTAGCTATATTATAGAGTGCTAATCGAGTGCATAACCTTATTCATTAAATTCTAAGCATTGCGGCTTTCTTAGTACAAAACATGTTTTATGTGAGCACATACTGGGCGAACTAAGTGAGAAACTCGATTTTTTTAGTTAATTCAGCATGTCTCTGGGTAGTTATCATAAAACATGTAAAACTAGTTAGGTATTCAGTAATTACAAAACGGCTAGATGTTTTTGTATTTTTAGCCTGTATAATTATTATTAAAACACCAATCACGTATTCCTTTCAATAGCAGCATATTTTGATTGGAAATAACCTTTATTTTTCGGTGATTTTTTCTGTACAGCAAATATTTAATAATTAAATTCCAAAGCTGTTTAAAATTTACAGATTTAACACATAAAAATTGCAGGGTGAAACCAATTGGTAGTAAAAACTTGTTTGTAGGAGTCACGAACTGGTTTTGCGAAAGTCGAAACAGGTGTACTCTAATTCGACGAAAAAGCAAGTTCTGTACGAAACTTCGCAGACTTCCTACCACAATTAGATATATTCATTATGAACTTTCGTGAATGAAAAAGGAATTCTATAAGCAGAAATGACTATGAGATTTATTTCAAACAGAAATTAACAAAACACTGTTTAACGTGAAATATATATTCTTAGTATATTCTTCGGACGTTTAATACCATTTCGACACATTTGAAACCGGACCTCCGTTTACGCATCTTTTGTTATCACTTACCTGATGACTTTGAATGACTTATGAAACCCCAATTAAATTCATTCGCAAATAAAAAGAGCGGTAAAAGTAAATTCTTACCTTTTGCCGGTACATAGCAGCCGCTTTAGTGTTGTACTTCTGAGGTATAGTCATGCCAGGCTTGTAGTCCGACGAACTCTCGAAAAAATCTCGAGCTTTCCCGTTGCCCCCTACCTGTATGGCAAACATAAAATACAACATTAATTAACTATTACAATAACCAATTTCGTACAATTTCGAAAAAATATGGGTTTGTGAAGATAGAAACGAAATAAATGTTCATGAAAACATCCCAATGAACGTACTACCACTAACGCCATCTGGTAACGTCGCTGAGAACCATTTGCAACTTACTGAGAACTTTTTGCATCAACTTTACTATCAGAGCTCTTGCGTTTTGCAAGCAAAAGCAAAAAACTACTTGCAAACCTTCAGAGATTATTGATAACTTGATTTACGTGAGACAGACGCTAGCCATTACAAACCACATTTAAGTACCTACTCTAGCAAAGGACATTGTTAATGAACACGCATGATACATTATATTCTTAGGTCTTTTCATAACATACATTACAAATATTTCTATAGAACGGACACTTTAGTTTCGAAAGCATTTTAAAAAGTATTCTTTACTATTACTTTTTAGTTCAATTTGAGATTTTTAACAGGCAAAGGTATTTTAGCTCATACAGCACTCTTAATGAGAGTTTGACACAGACAAGGATCGGTATTCTCAACACTTGATATAAGATGATAATTTTTAGTTATGATAATTTTTAGTTACAAACAGTCCGTTATGATGGCGTAGAACCATAATATGGCTGCTTATCAAAAGACTCGATTGAAAACGCTATTTGAAACGAGCAATAATATCGACACTGACAGTTGTTAGGTGACATTTGGTAGTAACGTCAATTGGCGCGCATTCTGTGCTCGAACTGCGTTTGCGTACTGAAATTGTTTGCATTTTCTTACTTTTCCGATTTTATCTAACAATTTAGCGTGAACAAAGGACTGTGATTTCTCTTGAAATATCGAACTATGGCTTAGTTTTACTGATACGGATCTACTTAGAACGACGAGCTGACTTATTATAAATGGACTTTCATAGCAAAAAGAATTGGAAGGAAGTTACTGACTTAATTATTTCTTCAAAATCCTACAGTAATTTGATTTTATCAAAAGCCTCAGTGTCCGTTGTTTTCATTTAGGGCCAATCGAATAGACATTATCTAAATAAAACTCAAAAAGTAAATACACCTCTGTTAGTTCTGAGGCGAGCTATGTATGAACGACGATCAATGTCATTTGTCAACATGTCAACGCAGTATGAAACGAAAAACTAACCACAAGAGGTCTAAAATTGAAACACAGAACCCAAAAGAATACCGGGTATAGATCAGTAAACAGGCCCCATACGTACCATAGTGGCTCGACGCTAGGACAGTTGTCGCAATGTACGTCTTATATAAAAGTGTAACAAATATAGCCGTAAACGTCAATCCCAACTGAAGTCGCGGTGAATAATGGCGAAGTATTCCTACAGCACTCATATATCACGATGCGAGAAACAGGAACACGGTCATTATAGTATAGGGCCACCTGTCACCGCTATGCACTATAGTAATCTTCGAATTAAACTTCACCTCGAGATACTACGCATCGCACTGATATGCAACTATAGTACGTTTGATTTCAGGTTTATTCTTTGATACAGACCTATTTCATTTAATAAAATATTTTGTTCGGGATGTGTGATAAGAAGTTAGGCGTATAAAGCGCATTATACGCGATGGTGTTGTGAATGCTTACCTTATTGTGCGTATGTTGTATTGTTTGTTTAAATGCAAAAAGTATATTAACTCGTTGAGTACCGTCATTATAGACACAATTAAAGAACTATAGGTCACCGGTGACCGCTCGGTGTTTGACAGTTTATAATAGTGTTTAGGTAGGTAATTAGAAAAACCTATCTAAGATGTATTTCAGATAAGTGTTTTCGTGTTCTACATCAAAATCTAATTTTTATAAGGTATTTGTCATGTCTTATCCGTGTAGACATCTACACTAATATTATAATGAGGGAAAATTAGACTTTTTGTTTGTTTGTTTGAATCGAATAGGCTCTGATATTTTACCGTTGAATCCTCCATTACCCCTGATGAACACTGGCTATAAAAAATTAAAAAAAGGAACCCTGTGAAAATTCCGATAATGTAACCCGGTGTGTGAAAAAAGTACCAAAAGCCTCGACTGGCAATCAAGGTTCCTTGGTAGTTTATGATGGACAAAGAAACGGACACACAAATATATAATACTAGTAGCCCGTCCCGGCTTCGCACGGGGTAGACAATTATTTAATTTTTGGAAATTTGGATTGTTGTAGTGACATAACTACAATAGTTGGACATATGCTACCCTGGAGTTTTTTGTAGACATTATGATGTTCTTCAATATTGTTCTACATTATTTTGTTCTATCGCTAATAGTTTCGGTAGCGCATTCGACGAAAGACATTTTAAGACCCATTTTTCTACACCTTCGGTTACATTGTTCAAATTTTACAAAGGATCCCTAGTTTTTTTCAAAATGAAATGTAGCCTATGTCAAATTGGAAGAATGTAGCATTCTATTGGTGAGAGAATTTTTTAAATCGGCCCACTACTTTTTGAGCCTATTCATTACAAACATATAAAAATAGGTACAAATCTTTCCTCTTTATAATATTAGTATAGAAGTATAGATTAAGTATAGATTTCTATGTCATCTGTATTTTTTTGACAATTGAGTTCACAGAGCCAATGGATCAGACATTCTTTTGTCAACAATAAGAGGTACTTATTCAAAGAGATTGTATTCAACAGTCTAAGCCGAGAACTCCGTGAATTTTTTCAGTTACCTAGAATTCGTATTTTCTTCAAGTAGGTAATCAAAAAACTTACACAGCGCTAAATGCTAATATTAGTCCTTGAAAACCCTGAGTATTTTATTTTAGTCTGTCGAGGCCGAATTTCCTATGAACGTTTGCCAGTCTTCTTTAGATAATGCTAACCAGATTTGTAAAAAAACTATTACAAAAGCTCCGTATATATTATTACTGATATTGGTAACGCTGTGGAAATTCGGACAATAGAGCCAATGTAAATATGTACCTTCTAATCTTGTAGAGGACATTATTATCAACGTAAAAGTGCGCGAATAGAGACTATTACAGTTATCATGACTAAAATTATTTTGTCATCTATAAATGTGCAATAGTAACAGTGCACCGATACATACCCGCCCATTAGTACCAGAGTAATATCCTGGAAACCCTATTAGAACGGGAACGATGTGTCAAATCCCGGGTCTCCTTATCGCATAACTTACTGAACCTATTTGGTTTGAGACCCGGAAATGGACACCGACGAGATTTCAACCGTTGTACCTATTTGATTGGAATTCGGTACAACAATGGTTTGCAACCTGGGAAGGGACGAAGAACCTTGGAGAATACTTTACTACTTTTAATTCTGTCAGAAGTCATTGTTATACTCAGACGAAGTCGCGGTGAACAGCTAGTTTACAGTAATTACAAAAGAAAACAACGAACCTTTGATAAATAATTTGATTGACGCTTTAGAATCAAAATTTAACCATGCACATATGCTCAGTGCAGGAGATTATGGCAAAGTATGTTCATTAAAATGTTTCAAATTTCAGATGACACAATTATGTAAGACCACTTGCAATGCCACATTTAGAGTATTGCACTAATTAGAACAATAAGTGTGCGTGCAACCTATTGTGTAAGTTTATGCCAGGCTGCTAAAACACTACATATTTACAAAAACAATATACAGAAATTATACTAACTGTAGTTTCTCCGAGCTCAAGACTGCATAGTCGGATCATAACCCAATCAAAGCCCGAACGGAAACCGAGGCACCCCCTGCATGTAATATTCCATAGCATCAATTTGCCAATTGAAGCATATTTGTACTAGCCACAACCGGTTCTCAAGTACAAAATGATGCACAGGATCTATCTACTTCAATATAGATTGTTCTAGAACTGTATGTACTTTAGAATGCAAACAAGGAAAATATCTAACAGAATTTTGAGGAAGCCCTCTTATTTTCAGAAGAAAATAAGAGTGAATGTAATCAAAACCTTAATACTATTAAGGCAGCGGTGTACGTACGTACGGTGTACATATGTATACAGTCAGTATGCGAGTTTGGTGAGCTTGTTCTAATATTAAAATTCTACAAAGTAATGTGGTGCTCAAATTACTAATCAAGATAAATAATTATGTACTTTTTATACGCAGCATGACTTTACGTATCATTCGGATAAAAGTTATAGGTATAAAATCAATATACCATTAAAAGTTTGTTCCTAAATATTTCTATAGTTAAAATCTATCAAAATTAATAAAAAAACAAACAATAAAGAGTGGCACGGTTGGAAATAAAAACAATCATTAATAGTTTGCGTTAAATTTTGGTTTATCAATAAGATAAAGATTAAATTACCTACGAAATTATGATACTAAATTGGTTTACCTATATTAATTTTTTACATAAGTGCATCGACAGTGCATTAGAACACAAATACAATTATTATAGGAAAAAGGAGTTTATAAAACGGCTTTTCAGTGGTAATGGGACATAATTTGATGGTGACGGTTAACGAAAGTTGGCAAAATTATGGTCAAAATTACCCATACCTACATACATAATACGTCGATTAAGGTGGCTTATTGGTGGCGAGTCATTTATGAAAGTACATGGGTCAGTGAAGTACTATTGTGTACATAATTACACAATATGGACATGCATCATGCCTGTTGTATCTCAGAATAGGTAAGCAAAGGTGGTGGTTACAGTAAATATGAAACTGACGCACATAATTAGTTTTTGACCAGTTCTCTATTGTATTTCAAGTTCCACATTAGTCCTTATAGAATTATAAGTTCCATATAAGTTTAAAACTTTGGACTGTAATTCAACAAGATACATATTACATATACCGATTTTATCATATTATTTACAGGTATAATTTCAGTCAATCAATTTGTACCAATTTTGTTCTGTTATATTTTTCTAATTTGTTTAAGCAAATAGTCGTAAATACTATAGTTTTTATTTATACCTGTTATTTAATATTTTGTGCATACCCACAGATTAGTT